TTGGATAATAATCTCTATTCAATGTAATAAATTCAAAATAGTTGAATACATTGACTAAGATAAACATATTTTGTGCAATTCATAAGGTTAGTGGAGTAAGATAAGTCACTCATTAAAAGTGTATAAGATACATTTTCCAGTATAAGAAAATCAAAGTGGGACAAAAGAGTTAGAGCCTGAAAAGGGACTCAACAAAAGAATGTAGGATGGCATGTTAACGACGTTTAACATAGAGAGAATCTTAAGAGTTAAAGTGACATAAATGGTTTTAAAAACAAGAGATAACTTCATGATTATATCTATAATTGGAAATAAACCTTTTGTTTAGGCTACAAAAAAAAGAGATATTTGGATCTTTAGTTTAATAAACTAATAAATGATTCTGAGTTGTTAAAGTAACAATAAGAGCCTTAATAATGGAATCAAGGTCTTGTTGTGATCTAAATTAGTATTTCAATTATGACAATGGAGATTGGCAAACATATAAATTAGCATATTCCCAATTATTGCAATTGGAGTTGTCCTAGTAGAGACTCAATTACTAAGCGAAAGAGTTCAGCATTGGATACATTAGCAATTGACTTAAGTGCAAGTGAGAGATATTTGGTATATTCCCTGAAGTCTGTTGGATTGATCAAGAGATATATTGTCATTTAATGCATACTTAATCGCATAACAATATGTGATAATGGTTTTCCTCCATATTAGTGCAATAATATAGAGTTATTAAGTACTAATTGGATCAAACCTATGGAACATAAAGGCCTTCTAAGAGAAGTGTAAAGTTGTTACAATTATGAGATCACTACACATTAAAGTCATGTTCCTAAAATTGTTCCTAGTCATTGTATTGTCAAGATACGGCATTGACAATGCTCAAAGACTGGTACATATTAAGCCTCCTTACTCAAGAAGTAAGCAATTTCTATCATAGATTGAAGTACATGGGATACTTAAGGATAAATGTGGGTGCTTGTTAAAGAGCAAGTTCACTGAACATGACTTGCTATGAGAACTCCATTTGGTATTTCACTCAAGTGTCAATGGAATATGTTCTCAAGTGATAGTTGTGCAACTAGTCCTCGGACTTAAGACACCAAGTCATCTTGTATGGTAAATGACATACTCTGATTTCATGTCTACGGGTTTAGAGGTGACTAGATGCCTAAATAGGGTGTTTTTGGGTATGTCATGAAGCATGCAAGGGTAAATGAGTGCCTAAGAGAGGATTCATCACCCCAAGTGATATGAGGGAATGTATCTCACTTGTTTTCAATTCTTGATTAACTTGTATAAAGTCTTTGGTAAAAGCATGATGAATTTGGCAACAATTAGTTTCCTAAATTCATAAGGTTAGTCCTGAATTATGAAAACTAATATGGAATGTCATAAGTAGACACTAAGCCATGCTTTATGACATATCCAGGATATTTGATGAAAGGACTGTATTACACAAAGAGGCTTATCAATGAAGGGCTTTATCAAATTCTTTTATTGACTCTTTAACATTTGGGTGATCATGATGTATTAATAGATGTCGTTCACGATGTATAAATATAAATCAATTATCAATTTGATATTTGATAAAAACCTATATTTGTTCCCAATATGTTAGAAGCCTAATGAGTTACACACATTAAGTGACATGATTGGGATTAAAAAAAGATAATTAATTAAGTTGGACTTAATTGGAATAGACCAAAATAAAGTGGGAACTGAATTGAGTTCACAATAACTTAATTGAATAAAAATACAACTGTGGTATCTAAGGTTACAAGTTAGTTTGGCTAGATAAATATGTTACGTTAGCCAACTAAAACTCTAAGCCTCTAGCCACTTCATAGCCATTTCATAAAAATAAGAAAAGAAAAAAAGTTTTCTTCGTTTTATAGAAATAAAATTCAGTAAGAACTTTTGGTCTTTTTGTTTTAGAAACAAAACTTACTAGCATAAGCAAAATCTTACCTTTGAGAAGGTCTTATTCGGTCATTTTGTGGATTACTGTTAAAGGCCAAAAACTTAGGTGGTTGAAGATTTGACAAATCTTAAAGGTGAAAAAGTAAAGATTTCGACTGTAAAATTTCAGACTGATTTGTTTTCTTTGAGGTTTACTTACTTTATCACAAGCATTTTTGGATTTAATTGGCTCTTGATTATGGTATATAAAGGAAGATATGTAACTCTTAAATCTATGAATGTTCATAATTAATTTAAAGATTTCATGAAAAACGCAAACATTAATCCTATAGGATTCAGCTGTTTCTCTTATTAAACGCTAGTTTATTTATCCACTACGTTATATTTTTAATTTATTGATTATTTTCATGTTTGACCATGAGGCCGAATCCCAGCAGTTGTTAGAAAATCTAATAGAGAAAAGCCTCTCTAGTTGCCACCCCTTTGAGTGAGAATTCCTTGAGAAGGAATTCTCTTGTTATTCAACCAAAGAGTAAGTAGGGAAAAAGACAAGTTGTTGTTCACTTTGCTAGCAAAAGGCGTACTTGAAAGCTCCCACCTTGGTGAAGGTTTAAGTGCAAGTGTGTGTGAGACCATTGGAGGCCAAACACTTAGGTAGCTCTCGTTCATCCACTTCCATGTGGTATACTATGTTTTTAAAGTGGTTTATGCCATCATGATTTAATTTAAGTATTAGGAGATTTTAGTCATTTATTTAATTTAATTTAATTTAATTATATTGGGTTCAATTGTGTTATGTTATTTTATGTTGTTTTACTTAAGTTTTGTTAGTATTTAAGTTCAGTTTTATGTTTTTGTAGGTGTGCTTTGAAAACAGGGCCTATTTTGTGAAAAAAATGCATTTTAGGTGTAGATTTCAACTGCATATGTAGTGGTTTTTCAAGAATGCCTTTGACTAAAAAAATCCAATTGATGTGATTCTTGAACCATTGGAAAGCTAAGAGGAATAGTTACAACTTTCATGTTTACAATGTTTCCCATTTCATCATGGAATGGAGTCAAAAATCATGTTAAAGTCAAAGTAGAGCAACAAAACAAGGTGAGCAAAACAGAGCCTTAAGCATTGTGGCCTCCGCCAAGACATGGCCACAGCACCCCGATCCATAAAGACACCTTAGACTTGAAGAAGCTTCAATGGCACAACCACCAAGTCCTCAGCACCACGATGGCTAGAAAGAAAAGGTGAAAAAAATTTTACATGGGCCAAGGAGGCGTAACACCCAATGAAGGAAGGAAACCGTTGGTGCTTTATGACTTCTATTTTACCTTGGACTCAAGCCCTATTTAATCCACTTTTAGAACACGTTTTAGGCATCAATTTAGAGAGGTGCTTATGAAGAAAAAGAGGTATTAAGGCTAGCAAGAAAACAAGGAAACCAAGGAAGATTGCGGATCGAAGAATGGACAAATCTTCAAGTTTTTTCTTTTTTTCTTGTCTATATACTTTCTTTGTTTTATTTGATGATGTTTTTATTTGTTAGCATGAACTAATTTTTTTATCTAGAATTAAATTGAACTTAATGCATAGACTGAATTTTTAATATTTTTTCTTACTTATGATTGATAGTGTTTGAGTTTATTTCAATCATGTTCTTAATGATGGAGTTGGATCTAGTGAATTGATATGTTTGTATAAAGCATGTATTTCAAAAATTTTCTTTTATAAAGAAAGCAAGCAATCCAATTACACAAGCAAAAGAATACATTAATCATATTGCAAGTAACATAATCACAACTTAAAAAATAAGATTCTATTAAAGTAAGATAAGCATACCTTTTATTTTAAGATTCTAGCCTAAAACATAAGACTTTTTTAAAGTAAGATAAATGTACCTTTTATTTCAAGATTCTTTCTTTCAGACACTTAGTGAATTATATAAACTTCACCACCACACTGACAACTGATTTCTCAACCAAACAAGCTTAACATTTATTCTTTGAGAATGCTTTTCAACTTGTACTTTGAGTGGACAAGGTGTAGAATGCTAGACTACAACATGACACTTGATTTTGTCTCTCTTTTTCTTTCTAAAAATTAATGGCTATTTTTCTTTCTTAGAAAGTACTCAAGAAAATGGCCAAGAATTGGAGAGACGAAGAGAGGTACGGCCAAGCTTGGAAGAGGAAGAGAGAAGTGTTGGTAGAGGGTTTCTCAAGAGAGATACTCAACTAACGTTTTTCCAATCTCTTTTGTTTTTATTAAAACTCTTACCTCAAAGATTTAGTCAAAACCAAATCCCTTTGAATCAATCTTGACCATCTATTTAGAGTTACAGATGCATCATACATACTTCAAAGTATCAAAATTAAAATTAAAGAATAAAGCATTTAATCTTTTAATTATCATTTAGAGTTCTTGATAAAACAAAACTCCTTGCTGAATAATAACTCTTATTTTATTATTATCCATTTTTATTCAAAAGAATTAATAATAAATATAAGAGTTTTAGTCAAACATGGAGGCTCCTTCTATCAACGTGGATGTCTACATTTATTTTGTAAGAATCCTCCTAACATTATCTTAATTTAAACAACTCTTGTCTTTAATTAAGACAAAACATGTTGTCTTGTCTAAATTGAGACAAACATGTTTTCTTGTCTAAATTAAGGCAAACATGGTTTCTTGTCTAAATTGAGACAAAACATGTTTTCTTGTCAAAATTAAGGCAAAAAATGTTTTCTTGTCTCAATTAAAAGAAAAAATGTTTTCTTGTCTAAATTAAAACGAACATGTTTTCTTGTCCAAATTAAGAAAAACATGTTTTCGTGTCTAAATTAAGACAAACATGTTAAAGCTACCATTTTTGCAAACAAATTTCATTAATTAAACAAAACTTGCATTCCAACTTTAACAAATTGAATTCTACAAAGCTATGTGGGGAATCGATTTTAACATATACACTCCAAGCTCCAATCAACTTAGAATTATTCTTAATCTCATTAAGATAATTCAAGTTTATTAACTATGATATCTCACCACCATAGATTTATGGATGCATTCTTGGATTAACTATAATTACAAGAAATGATTCAATAGTCAATATTCACTATTAGTTGTTCAATTGCAAATATTATATTGTGAACCCTTAAAACCATTTAATGATAAAAGGTAAATTTACTATTTTACTCTTTATGTCAATTTTGTCTCCTAGACTCAGACTTCATCCAATTAGTGATCTAATACTCTAAATCTAATATTTTGAATATCAGGATATGATAAGTAGCTAATTCATCAATCCACTAGGCCTAGATTAATCACTAATCTTCTTTGAATCACTAAAAGTGATGTTAATGCTATGATTACCATAGTTTAATTATTATTTATTATTTCTTATGCTTTTGTAGGATTTTAAAGGACTAAGGCTCAATTAGGTGAAGAAAGGTGTTTAAGGAACCAAGGCCTTGTGGTCTTTTGATTATAACTTTCTCTCCTAATGCCCAAATGATGTGATTTTTGGACCATTAGAAAGCTAAGAGAAAAAGATACTTCATAAGATCACATTACCTAATTATGCCTAGAAGATGGAGAAAATCATGTTGGAAGTTGACAAAGAGTAGTAATTGGCACGAGAAGACCTAAAGCCAAGCCAGTGTCGTAGCATCGAGGGGCTATGTGTTAGAAATTTGAGAATATGGTGCCCTAGAAAGCAAGTACATTCTCATGTTTAATTTCATTTAATTCATTTGCAATGAAAGTACATTTTGATAATAAGACAAAGAGTTTGTTTTAAGTAAGCATTCATAATCTACTTATTAGGGTACCATAATTCTCCTGAGATATTAAAATACGTTTATATAAAGAGTCATACATAAGAAACATGTATTTTAATTAAATTTAAAAACTATTCACAGCCATATAATAAATCAGGTCACTTTATTATGTTAAGGCTGTAGTATCCACATTACTTCCAATGAAACGAATGTGAGTCACTTCAAGGGAATAATGAACCGCAAATCATCGACATGGTTGACATTGAGAAATGACACTATAACATGAAGTAGAATCATGTGAGAATCAAATTTAAGTTTAGTTATTACTTAAATCTTAATCCCAAACTCATGCATTTGATTATATTAAAATCGAAATCCAAATGGATAGTGGATTCATGTTTAACCTCCTTATAATCTTTGAAATACCATGAAGATAATCATCATAAAGTGTTGATCTAGACTCTATTTATTGAGATTATAATCAAGATAAACATCTAGAAACATATATCCAAATAGTGGAGTTCATAGCATTAACATCACTTTTAGTGATTTCAGGAAGATTTGTGATCAATCATGGCCTAATGGATTGATCAATTAACTACTCATCACATCTGGATACTCAAAAGATTAGATGTAGAGTATTGAATTGATAATTGGATGCAATTTGAGACTAGGGGACAAATTAGACATAAAAGGTAAAACGGTAATTTCATCTTTTGTCGTTGGATGGTTATGAGGGTTCACAATATAAGGTTTGCAATTGGACAACTAATAATTAATATCAAGTATTGAATCATTTCTTGTAATTATAGTTAATCCAAGAGTGCAACCATGAATGTATGGTGGAGTGATTTCAAGGTTAATAAGCTTGAATTATCTTAACAAGATTAAGAATAATTCTAAGTTTACTGGAGCTTGAAATATCTATGTCCAAAAGATTCCCCACTTGCCTTCGTAGAATTCAACTTATTTAAGTTGAAATGCATGTTTTATTTGATTAATTAAATTGTGTACAAAACTAGCAGCTTTGATGTTTTGTCATAATTTAGACAAGAAAACATGTTTGTCTTAATTTAGACAAGAAAACATGTTATGTCTTAATTTAGATGAGAAAACATGTTTGTCTTAATTTAGGCAACAAAACATGTTTTGTCTTAATGTAGACAAGAAAACTTGTTTGTCTTAATTTACACAAGAAAACATATTTGCCTTAATTTAAGACAAGAAAACTATGTCTTGTCTTGATCTAGACAAGAAAACATGTTTGGCTCAGTTAGACAAGATAACATACTTTGTCTTAATTAAAGACAAGAGTTGTCTTATTTTAAGATAATGCTAGAAGGATTCTTGTTCTAGGGATATTTTATGCAAACTGCTAAGTACTTGCTCAATTTTGCTCCATCTAAGGCTGTGCCTAAGACACTAAGGGAGTTGTGGGCATGGCATAAATCATCTATATGTCATTTGTGAACTTGGGGGTATCTTGCACATGTTTTACAGCTTGAGTCCACAAAGATAGAACCAAAGACTAAGGTGTGCTTGTTTGGAGGGTATCCAAATGGAACAAAAGGTTATTACTTCTATAGTCCTCAATATAAGAAAGCTTTTGTTAGTGCAAATGCCACTTTCTTAGAGGAAGATTTTGTGAGAAATCACAAACTTAGAAGTAAATTTGTCTTAGAAGAATTATTGGTCCCTCATATTTAAGAGTTAATTCTAAAGATGGCATAACACAGCCTGATTCAAGGATTGAAACAAAAACACAACCTAAACATCAAATAATAGTGCTTCAATGTAGTGAAGGGTAGTAAGATAACCAAAAAGATACATGGGTCTAGGAGAAAACATGATTGCACTCTCAGATGAACATGAATCTGACCTTATTACATATAATGAAGCTATTAATGATATAGATGCAGAAGAATGGCATAATGTAATGAAATCTAAGTTGGACTCCATGGATTCCAACATGGTTTGGACTTTAATAAACTCACCTGAAAGGATAAAACCCATAAGGTGCAAATGGATTTACAAAAGAAAAAAAGGAAGAATTGGGAGGGTAGAGACCTTCAAGGCTAGATTAGTGGTCAATGGTTTTACCCAAAGAGAAGGGATTGACTATGAGGAAACCTTCTCGCTGGTTGCTATGCTTAAAACCATCAAGATCCTTCTATCCATAGTTGCACATCTTTATTATGAGATACAGCAAATAGATGTCAAGACCACATTTTTAAATGAGGATCTTGAAGAGTGCATTTATATGGCTCAACCAGAAATTTTCATTATGAAAGGGCTATGAGATAAGGTCTTTGAATTGCATAGGTCCATTTATCGGCTTAAGAAAGCATCTAGGTCTTGCAATATAAGATTTGATACTACTATCAAATCATACAATTTCCAACAAAATGTTGATTAACCTTGTGCCTATAAAAAGATACATGATAAAAATGTTGTTTTCCTAGTCCGTTTTGTTGATGACATTCTACACATTGGGAATGATGTAATAATGTTATCAACAATTAAAGGTTAGCTAAACCAACAATTCAATATGAAGGATTTTGGAGAAGCTAGCTATGTTTTGGGGATCAAACTTATAAAGGATCGTACGAACAAGCAAATAGCATTATCTAAAGCATCCTACATAGACAAGATTTTGGCCAAGTTTGCTATGCATGATTCCAAAAAGGGTTTTATGCCTTCTAGACATGGAATCAAACTTTCTAAGGAGATGTCACCTAAAACTCCAAAGGAAGTTGAAAACATGAGACCAGTTCCATATGCATCTGTTGATGGAAGTCTCATGTATGTTATGTTGTGCACTGGCCAAATATCTACTATGTAGTTGGAATGGTTAGCAGATTTTAGTCAAATCCAGGCATGGAGCACTAGACTGTAGTCAAGTGCATTTTTAAATATCTTCGTAGAACAAAGAATTACACTCTTGTATATTCTAGAAGTGACCTTGTAGCAATAAGGTACACTAATTTAGATTTTCAGTTTGATGTTAATTCTAGGAAATAGACATTAGGATCTATTTTCACCATTAAAGGATGAGCCATAGTTTAAAAGAGTGTAAAGCAATCTTGTATTGTAGACTCTACTATAGAGGCAGAGTATGTTACAGCTTGTGAAGTAGCAAAGGAAGATGTACGACTCCGTAAGTTCCTTATGGACCTTAAAGTAATTCCAAATGCGAACAAGTCTATTAGACTCTATTATGATAACAATGAAGCAATGGCCTACCTCAAAAGAACCACGAAATTATGAAGCAGCAAAATATATTGAAAGGAAGTATCATCTCATTCAAGACATCATACAACAAAGAAAAGTACTTGTGAAGAAAATTCCAATAGAGCAGAACTTCGTTGATCCATTCATAGAGACCCTAACACAAAAGAGTTTCGATGGTCACCTAAAA